AATCAAACACAATTGTAGGCTTCATTCATGTATAAAAACATACAGAGCAACTTAGTTAATGGTGTGTTATATCAGTGTAGGCACTCTCTGGAGTGTTCACTAATTGTTATAAACAACTTGGTTTTGTGTCTCATCAGCTCAAGCATATTATACTATTGTCACATCTTTTACATGAATTTGTTACTGTCCTGATTACAGCAATAGTACAAAAAGCATCACATGAGTAGAATGGTACAACCATCAACTATCTACATATAGTCAAGCACTTACTTTCTGACATGTTATTTAGTTGTAAAAAGAACAGGCAAAGGTTTAGAAGAAAGCTCTGTTACTGAACACTGTCAACAACTTCTAATGTGGGCAGCCTAGTATAATATTCCTGCTATCTGATTACTATCAAAACCTACAATTTCCTGTGTAACTTACCAAAGAGTTTAGTAGTATATGATTCACTCATTCACCTTTCCATACCTTGTGTAGTGGAACAAACCTTATACTGCCCTTTCCCCTATCCTGTTGTTACTTGAAATGATAACAATTATTTACTAGCTCCTGGCACCTCTGCCAAAAGAATATGCCAATCATTTCAACTCATAATAATTACTTAAAATTGTACTATGCTATTATCATTATTAAAGGGTAATATTGTAAAGAGTTTCTAGTTTCTTAGGTATCCTTTCAGCTGCTGCACGGTCTCCTGTTCCCTCCACAGCGTCTATCAAAGTCTGCCATGTTCTACTAGTTACATTATCTTCTCCCTTTAGCCATGCTTCTATAGTCCTCCTCAAGTGTCTGTATGCATCACCACCTCCTTCTCCAATGACATTGAGTCTTGGCATCAGTAGACCGAGCTTCAGACCCAAGTCTACCCATTTTGTTGCACCAAACAAAGCTTTATTTAAAACTGTTGTTACTGTTTCAACATCCTCTATACCTGTGGTGGTAATGAATTAATAGATTATTCAGCATTATGATACATTACTTACCTAGTGTCCTTTTCCCATTATCAGTATTACTAGTACTAACAGTTTGCATGCTGGCACTGCTAGTAGTAGTAGATCTACTGCTTCCATTAGATGACACTGTAGCAGTAGGTACTGTAACAGAAACAACATGACATTATGTAAAAATTAAATGTGTACAGTAGAATCCTCTACAGCCAGTAGAGGTCAGTAAACAACTATAATTATAATCGAGTCAAAGGGAGGGACAGATTTATCAGTGGTGGATAGGGTTTGCCTCTAGAATGGTACTGATAACCTTCAGTAGTATCATATTACAGTATCAACTATACTACCCATTTCACCCACTTCTACTCATACCCACACCTCCTGTAGTAGCTATAGTTTAATTGTGGTTGGTGGTCAGATCATGCAAGCAATTCAATTTTAGTAACTTGTAGTCAAATTTTATTAAATTATAGGTTTCTGACAAAGTATTAATTTTATAAGGTCTGATCAATAGCTTGAACTTACCCAATTCATTGGCTAAAACACTTAGCACTATATCTAAATCACCTATGCCTAAAATGATAATGCATAAATTTATGTACACACACTATAGTTCTATTGTACCTAGCTCATTAGGGTTAGTCCTAGGCAGAGCTGCTGCTGAAGGATGAGGTGGAGCTGAAGGAGTAACAGCTGGTACTTGAACTGGTGTAGCAGCTGTTCCATCTATTAAAATAAAGTATATATTTAGAAAGGATACTAATGGAATGTGTTTCACTTGATATGCTTGTCCTCATGCTTGCTCCATGTTTCTTCAATGTAGCATTGTCTACTAGTTGAGATTCAAATATCTCACATATGACAAGTAAACAGGCATTAGGGTATTAGGGTCATCACTATCCTTTATCTTGTCTCTTAGGGTAAAGCCACTTCCCTGCCTCTTTCAACACCTTGTTTGGTCATAATAGCCTCGAGCTCTTGATCAGTTATCAGGTCTTCAGCATTTAGAGAAGCAGTGACTACAGAAAAGGATGGATCCTTCCCAAGTATGTTTATAAGCTTTGGTAGTGTCTTTTTAAAGACATCCTTAGCACTTTTACCTACAGTACAGTGCTAAAAGATTGGTACACTTCATAAAGAGAACTGACTTCCTTCAGCCATTATTGTTATTCACTTAAATCAGCAAATGTGTGGGCAGGTTTAGGTTATCTATTACCCACTTCCTTTTTCCTTTTTAGGAGTTACTATGAATGTAATAAACATTCATAGGATTATACTTTACTGCATATAATGCTGTTATTAGAATAAGGTAATGTTGCAAGGAGCTTCATTATGTTAGATTATATGAAGTTGTTCTAAAATTGGGCCAAATAGTCTGGCGCAGCCAGACCCCTTTTTCGGAAGGAGTCTGGAAAACATCCGTACATTGACTTGTACCCACGGTCTATATAAGCCGGGACAATCAGATCATGCCACGTAGTTTTTTGTCATATG